TTCCATATACACTCTATTTAATTCTAGATATAAGAGATTAATAACTTATTTATGGAAATTAAGATTAGTTTTCGGTTACGATATCCTTTTAATCATATGCAACAAAAACTACTCCCATATAAAAATTCAAACCTACAATCAATAAAGATATTTTGAGAAAAAATTATAAAATTTGAAAACAATTCATCTAGTGTCAAAACAAACCTCTCAATTAGTTCTTACCACGAAACGGGGTTTTGTAAATCTAAAAATAATGGTTTGCCAGAGAGGGAGAGGGAGAGGGAGAGGGATTGGGGGGGGGGGGGGAGAGATTTACATGAGCATCCGAGCCATCGTTAAGAGCAGAATCTTTTCGCCATGTCAAACGTTGAGAAGGTGGCAATTTTCCTGACCTTTGGCCTTCAAAGAACAAAATACTCTTCGTTAATGCATCTCCATAATTCCCTGAATCTGCTCTTACCATCACCATCAACTTCGTCCTCATCACCAGTAGTATTGATAATAATAACTTCCATAAAGCCATACTTGAAAGCTTTGAAGTCTTCTGCAGAAAATACTGGTTTTGATTGAGGAGAAGCAGCACCAAGTTTTTTTCCTGATGAAACTAAATACTAGCTCCTACTGGCTCATCATCAGTGTATTAAATAGCTCCGTTTTTTCAGCTTTCGTTCTGCAAATTTAATGCTGCTGATAAGGAAAATTTGGTCTGATTATATTAAAATAATAAATTTTACCTTTACATACATAACACTACATTCCATTGGTGTTTGAGCCATAATTACTCTGGATTTTTAGTCCTCCATGATTTTCCTTTGATGAGAAAGTTAATTAATGCATTGCATAAATTATGGACATTAATTCATTAAAAAAATTTATTTTGCATTCAAACATTTTACCTCTAGAGTATTTCAGTTTTTTGGACAGCCATCGAGGAATCCAGGCCTTTGTTAGGAATTAATGGGGAGTACATTCCATGCTTATAGCAAAAATGAATATGAAGTGCTTGTCTTAACCTAAATCATTCAGATTGATTTTGAATGTTCTAGATTCAATTTAAATTTTTTTATGTTTAAACAATTTTTATTTTAAAAGGTATAGAATTTAAAATAAAAATAATTTTATTTATAACTGACATTTTGCAAAAGAAAATTACCACTAAAAAATCGTAAATTAAAAATTTTAAATTCAAAATGTCCAACTCAAATTTTCTGGATAATCCAAATTTAATCATGGTGATGAGTACAAAATGAGAATCCGAATTAATTTGAATTATAAAATGACTGAAATAGAGCTCTTTTTTTTTGGGGGGGGTCCTGGAGGCTCATGCAATAAAAGAGTTTACAAGAAATTTATTTTTACATAATTTCATTATGGGAAAGTTAATTAATAGGGAAAATTGCAAATAAAGACCCTCCAATATATAAAATAGCTATCAGGGACCCTGAATTTGGAAAATAGCTTCAAAGGACCCGGTCCCAAATTGCAAATATGAAATGATGGTAAAATGTCCAGAATGCCCTCTGCTTTTCTCTCTTTCTTCCTCTCCAGATCATCTTCTTCCCGACCTTGCCTCCTCATTTTCCTCTCACTCTTCGTTCTCTCTTTCCTCTCCAAGTTTCCTTCCCTCTCCTCACTCTTTTCCCAAAGTATATGGAACTCCCAATGTCTTTCGGTGGTCCTCTCCTCATTGTCATCCCCGTCACTTTCTTCTTATCTTGCTTACCTGCTCTTTCGTCAACAATGAAGCCTCTTCCATCATTCTCTCTGTTGCTGTGGAAGGAGAGGAGAGTCGGGATTTGAGGGAGAGTGACAGTCATTTGTAATGCTTGTAATGTTTGCTTGCAATGTGTGCGGTGATTGCTTGGTGCTGAGACAACGCCCAATAAATCTGGATTTTTATTCTTCATTTCTATTTTGATTTTCAGCTTGTGTTCGTAATTGAAAATAACGAGTTTGATAAGTTGTTGAAAATAACAAGTTGACAAGTTCTGATACCCAGTTCACGACAAGTTCAGTAATGCGAATAACAAGTTTAGCAAGGCGAATAACAACTTCCGATAAGCAATTCATAGAAATTCGAGTTTCTCTGTTAAAATGACAGCATTTTCAGATTTCTTTAGCAGATGACAAGTTCTGATACACAATTCATGACAAGTTCAGTAAGGCGAATGACAAGTTTAGTAAGGCGAATGACAACTTCTGATAAGCAATTCATAGAAATTTGAGTTTCTGTGTTAAAATGACAGGTTCCCAGTAGGTTTTCATACTTTTTCTTGTTAAAATGACTGGATTTCCACATTGATTTATCAAATGACAGGTTTATAATAGAAAATGACAAGTTTTCATAAGATTTTTATGCTTTTTTTTTTGCTGGAATTACAATTTGCACATTTCTGACAGCAACAACTTCTGATAAATACGAAATGACAAGTTCAGAATGAAAAATGACAAGTTAAGTATAGCAAATGACAAGTTCCCACAATGTTTTCATACATTTTCATACTTTTTCTGCTAAAATTACAATTTGCACATGTCTGACAGCACCCACTTCTGATAAACACGAAATGACAAGTTCATAATGGAAAATGACAAGTTAAGTATGGCAAGTGACAAATTCCCATAATGTTTTCATACATTTTCATACTTTTTCTGGTGGGATTACAATTTGCACATTGCTGATAGCAATCACTTTTGATAAACAATAAATGACAAGTCCACAATAGCGAATGACAAATTAAGTATGTAAAATGACAAGTTCCCATCACGTTTTCATACAAATGTAAATTTCTCTACTGAAATAACAATGTTCAGATTTCTGACAGCAACCACTTCTGATTAACATCTTTCATCATCAACTTCACCTCTCATTTCCTCCTAATGTATAAAACTATAGCACCAGAACTCTCATAAGCCCCTCAAGAAGCATGCTCATATCAACACCAGTGGCAAATGCACTACGATGATCATATCCACTCACAAGTGCATCCTCAACCATGAAATCCCAAATATAAATTGCCATATCATATGAACAAGAAACCATCAAATTCTACATATAAAGCGAGAACTTTATTCGTTTAGCACTGTATTTAGGGCTCGTTTGTTCCTCACATGCCACACCTTGATCGATTTTTCCACCGAAATACAATCATCATACTTGATTTTCACAATTTAGAGCTTGTTTGCAATTATCAGAAGTGGGTGCTGTCAGACATGTGCAAATTGTAATTTTAGCAGAAAAAGTATGAAAATGTATGAAAACATTGTGGAACTTGTCATTTGCTATACTTAACTTGTCATTTTTCATTCTGAACTTGTCATTTCGTATTTATCAGAAGTTGTTGCTGTCAGAAATGTGCAAATTGTAATTCCAGCAAAAAAAAAGCATAAAAATCTTATGAAAACTTGTCATTTTCTATTATAAACCTGTCATTTGATAAATCAATGTGGAAATCCAGTCATTTTAACAGGAAAAAGTATGAAAACCTACTGGGAACCTGTCATTTTAACACAGAAACTCAAATTTCTATGAATTGCTTATCAGAAGTTGTCATTCGCCTTACTAAACTTGTCATTCGCCTTACTGAACTTGTCATGAATTGTGTATCAGAACTTGTCATCTGCTAAAGAAATCTGAAAATGCTGTCATTTTAACAGAGAAACTCGAATTTCTATGAATTGCTTATCAGAAGTTGTTATTCGCCTTGCTAAACTTGTTATTCGCATTACTGAACTTGTCGTGAACTGGGTATCAGAACTTGTCAACTTGTTATTTTCAACAACTTATCAAACTCGTTATTTTCAATTACGAACACAAGCTGAAAATCAAAATAGAAATGAAGAATAAAAATCCAGATTTATTGGGCGTTGTCTCAGCACCAAGCAATCACCGCACACATTGCAAGCAAACATTACAAGCATTACAAATGACTGTCACTCTCCCTCAAACTCCCGACTCTCCTCTCCTTCCACAGCAACAGAGAGAATGATGGAAGAGGCTTCATTGTTGACGAAAGAGCAGGTAAGCAAGATAAGAAGAAAGTGACGGGGATGACAATGAGGAGAGGACCACCGAAAGACATTGGGAGTTCCATATACTTTGGGAAAAGAGTGAGGAGAGGGAAGGAAACTTGGAGAGGAAAGAGAGAACGAAGAGTGAGAGGAAAATGAGGAGGCAAGGTCGGGAAGAAGATGATCTGGAGAGGAAGAAAGAGAGAAAAGCAGAGGGCATTTTGGACATTCTACCATCATTTCATATTTGCAATTTGGGACCGGGTCCTTTGAAGCTATTTTCCAAATTCAGGGTCCCTGATAGCTATTTTATATATTGGAGGGTCTTTATTTGCAATTTCCCCTAATTAATACCTTCGAAAAATAACTGCTATAGATTTTTTACCCCAAAATTTATTTATGATTTCAGATGCACATTTGAAAAAAGTTTATGAATATATTTGCATCTTAACCTTTAAAATTATCTATGTATTTCAATCTAAAATGGTTAGGTGTGTAGTAAACATAAATTAATTTTTTTCCCCGTGACTCGTCACACACCATAATACTGGTTCAACTCATAATTAGCATTTCATGCTTGAGAAAATTTTAAAAGAGGTGTTTCATGTCATTGAGATTACAAGTCTACCAAATATGAGTCCAAAAAAAAAAAAAAAAAAAGTCTACCAAGTAAAACAAATTCATGAGGGTCTCACAAAATTTTTTTTTAAAAACACAGCTAACGAGGTTTTAAAGTTTTGTTTTTAAATCAATAAAACATGTTAGAAGTAAATTATAAAAACCAGGTCAAGTTATGATAGATACGTGTGTATCAATAATTTTTGTGTGTGTAATTTCAGGCGGAATTCTTTGTTTGGACTGAAATTTCAAGAGGAATTTCTCTTGTAAAAATTTGCGGCTTCTCTTGAATATTTTACAATTTACAAATTATAGCCTCCTTCGAAGGTGTTTTTTTTTTGTTTTTTTTGGGTACAATCGAAGTTGCAAAACCGTATGTTGAGGAATCTTCCTAGGTCCTGCAGTGGTGCAATCATAATCGAGGATGTTGCTCAATTACCTTGGCCATAAATCACAATTCTGACTTATGCTCAAATTTGTTCTGCCTCCTTACAGATTCTCAAATCCTCGTTTCATTGTCGTGATTGCTACCGCGGCAACTGGGAACAACCGCCGGCTGCCAGATCTCCGGTCACTGGCGAACGGCGCATCCCCCAGTTTAGCACATCGATTTGGGTTCCGGTAAAGAAGAACAGGTTTGTCTGTCACTCTTTCTTGCTTCTCTTCGTGTTTGTTTGTTTGATCGTCCTTGTCGTCTCTATTTGCTTGTACTTTTTATTAGCTTGATCTCTTCGTGTCTTGTCTACTGCGTAGGCTTTGTTGCCCTCAAAGTTGAGGATTTTTGTGGTTGTCACTCCTTTCGTATTGATCGGTTGTTTATAATGTCATCAATCTGTTAAGAAAATTTTTCTCCGTGTTCTACTTTTCAAATCAGCGTTTTGATATCCTCTTGTGCATTGGCGGGGATGCCTCGTTCGTAAAATGTCCCCATTCCCTTTCTTCACCTTAATCTAATGCAAGTTCTTTATATTCTAGGCTATTGACTGAGCTTTTAGAAAAATAATAAAACAAACAGCAGAGGAGGAGAGATAGGGGAAGATGCAGCAGAGAAATTCGACAATCGGAAGGCCTTCTGGGACAGATGGCTCAGATTACTCATACCGCATGGTTGTTGATTCACGTAAGCTTCAATTTTGAGTTGTTCCTGGCTTATCAAATTTTTCCTTGTTATTTTGATTAATTATATTTTCTTGATTTTCCTGGAGCGTAGATTGCTGAGCTAAATATTTTGTGTCTTACTAATCTTTTTGGTGTTGATCATCTTACATTTAGGGTATCAGCTGGTAGCAAGGGGGAAGAAACGCCTTTCTGTACTTCTACCTCTTCAGGTACCTCAGATTTCTCATAATTTCTGCTCTTCATGCTTTTTCATGTTATTCTAGGATTTGTTAGGTTTCTCTAAATTCTTGCTCCTCATGTTTTTTTGAACATTATTCTTGGATTTCTATGCCAATAGGCAATTGATGTTCTTTGTTTTTCCGTTGCATCTGTTGAGGATTCTTGATCGGATATTATAAGTTTTAGTGAAAAAAGGTGATGTGCCACTATTGTATGATCCTGTTGCAGGGAAATAGTCTAACTCTTTGAAAACTGTGAAAAAAAGGTTCCACTCTGTCTGCTTATCAATTGCTGTATGATATTGGCATTAATCTGATTCCAATTATAATGTAGTAAAAAGTATAACTTAAAATGTTCAACTTGATCAGACAGTCTTGTAGTTTAGCTCTCCCTGGTGTTACACTTTGCACACAAGGTTCGGAATTTTCTACCTTACATTCTTACTCATTGTGCCTATGGATATTTGTCACAGCATGATAATTCTTAATTAACATATCTACTTCCAAATTGTAATAGGATGATGTGATAAATGTCACATTGGTATGACAAATTTGGCAATGGCACATTAGAATTTTTGAAGCTTGGTTCTTTGCCCATAGTCCCATACAACTTCATTTCTTCAAAAGAGACTTTACTCTTGGGTTGGGAAATAGTTGATGCATCTGGTAGTACTTCTATGGAAGTAAGGGTTCTTTTAGGTTAGTAATAATCTGCTATGGAAATTGTAATAAAGGAATAACAGAAATAACAGAATGGGTAGGTAGTTAAAAGTCTTATTGCCTATAAATAGATGTTAAGTACCCCATTTGTAAGATATATTATGAATGATATGATTAGTGTGATGCTCCGCTTCTCTTCTCTCTCCTCTTCTATATTTCTCTGTTTCTCTCTGTTATTCTTTCTGCCTTATTTCTCTTTCCCTTCCTCTTTCTCCCTCTCTTTCTTATTCCAATACCATAACATAATCTGTATTCATCTGAGGGAATTGAGTCTTTGCATTGGGCATGGACCTGAAAAGATCATGACAAACCGCTTGCATTGTGACTTGGTCTTTTAGTGTCATATCTTTGACAAGCAAATTTGTTGTTCTGATTCAATTTGACTCATTAAATTAGTCGCTTCAGTGATTTTTCTTTTAATATAGCATGCACTTAAATCTCCAGTGAGTTTTACTTTTATTCTCTTCATTATTATCAGCACAAAAACTTTACTAAATTCCCCCCACAGACTCATCAGCAGCAACATAATAATTATGGTTCCCGTTGCTTCTTGTATAGACAGTTTTCAATTTGATTGTTGCAATTATTTAACTACAATGAGTGTATATTTTTTTGTCAACATTGAAATAGTCTTCTTTGATTATTGCCACAGTGTCATGAGTCCTCATACTGGTTTGATTAATCATGTGAACTGATAGCCCCTATTGCTCTATTCCTTTGAGACTATGAAATGGACATAGGGCTTCCATTCCTTTATTAAGGATGTTTGGTTGGCTCCATATATATAAAATTAGCTCTCCCAAGAAACCAAGATTACAACTCATGAGGTGAATCAGGATTCCCAAGTGCCAAAGTGGTTGTCTGGTCCCTCAGAAAAGTCCAGTTGACTCCATCCTTTTCCTCCTGCTCATTCAAGGACCGGTTCTTCATGCTAGATCTGCGTATTCTTTTTTTCTTCAACCCCCCCCCCCCCAAACAAAAAATTCATCTTCATCATCCAAAACATCCAGATCTGTTACAATGGAGGGAAAGAATGATGTCATTGATGTTTGTTTTGCTTGAGCATCTGCTGTCATTGTCGTCTCTGAACCAGCACTTGCAGTTGTTGACGCCTTGTTGTTTTCAGATCTGGCTTTGCTTGAGCTTTCATTTTCAAATCTGTTACTGCAACTGTGTTGTTTTTTTCCCCCAAATTCAGATTTGGATTTTTATTTTGATGTGGAAATCTAGCATTTGATTTTGATGATGAAACTCTGGCATTTAGTTATGGAAATGTGGATTGGATTTTGATTTTGATTTTGCCATTTGATGAGGGAGGAAAAGAGTGAAGGCGCAGTGGAGTGCATGGGAAATAGTTGAATGAGGGTATTTTGGTATTTTTATTTTTTTAAAACTAAATATAAGAAATAAATTTCCATCATTCTAAGTATTCATGCCAAACAGATATACAGTGATCAGCATAATATTTTATTCCATTCTCTACCATTTATTACCATTATAAGCACCAAATGGGCTCTTGGGGATTCGGTTCTTCCCTAATTCTGTCCTCTGTCTAGTTGCGGCGAGATGTTGAAGCCATGTTATGTGTTCTTGCAGCTTCTATACTTTTGCATCCCTTTATTTTGTGGTTCCTAGGTTCTGTGTCTTGCGTTGCTATATGCTAATCCATCAAACCTGTGAACGTGGTAGGATCTTGTCATTTTATTACTATCAGTTTAATGGAATCAGCACATTTCTTTGAGCCATTTTATCCTGGTTCCATCATAATATATTCAGGCCGTGGGATGCTATAAACTTCAAATTATGTAATTATGTTCAACCTTGCAGTTCGTTCTCTTGTCCAACCTTTTGGAGGCAGATTAGCTCAAACCTTAAGATTGACATTTCTTGACAGCTTTTTATTGTGGGGAGAGCAGTCTCTTTACATCTTTTTCCAATTTTCATGATTAAAAGGCAAGTTTCTAAGTTCAGCCATGTTTTACTTTCAACATCGGAAGGCAAAATATGGCAGATTATAAATATAAGGGTTGCATTGTTCTACGGGTTTTTGATCCGAAGGTTTCTGTAGTTTTTTAATTTCTTTTCTTTTGTGAGAAGTGAGGTTGGTCTGGATCTGTATCTTGTGCATAAAATATTGTGTAATTATATTTGATCTGTTTGTGGTCTTAATTTTGTCAAATCTGTATTTTATCAAAAGGAGAGTATTTGATGAGTATTAACATCTCTAGAATGTGCTTATCTCATTGGCAGGAATTCCTGCTGTTTAATTTAGCTGCTAATTTCTATCTGTATGCTTCAAACTTCGATAAGATATGTACATGAAACTAAGCAGTCACTAAATTATTGTTAGTTGCTTAATTGCCAAGTGTAGCACCGAGGGCTCTAAAATGCTGCATATCATAGGGGTATGTGGATGATGTTTCATGAAATGTGCACAACCCATAAAAGTTCATTAGTAATCATAATGATTGTTACACGTGCTCTCTCTGTGCGCATAACCAAACTTTCATTAAAAACAGAATTCATGAAGACCACTGTAATCTTCCATAAAATACATAATCACAAATCGTAAAAATCAAAAGGTTGAGTCGTAGCTTTACTTTAAGATATCACAGTGATCATCACTAGGGAATCCCTCAATTTCCTCTGTATCATTTCGAAGGTCGCGGTGGTACTGCTGGAAGATTTTAGTCGAGGTAGTAAGGGTAGAGAGTGGGGCATGAGCTGGTGTTCTTGAAGCACATATCGCCCGTGGCTTTGGTTAATTATGGTTGTGTGGCAGTGGGGAGGAGAAGGGTGAGGGAGAAGAATAGAGGAAAAAACATGTCTTCCCTGATTTTGTTGGCTCCTGTGTTGGCAATTGCAACCAAAAAGCTTTTGGAATCATTTGATCGGGGTTGCATCCCTATTTAGTTGTATGCATAGTGCACACTGCAGCTAAATAAATGTAGTAGTTGTACTGTGGCCATAACTATACAACAACAACAATAAAGCCTTATCCCACTAGGTAGGGTCGGCTATATGAATTACACAACGCTATTATTGTTTTGTTAACAACCCAATCCTTAGATATGTTATTGACCAGAAGGTCTTGTTTAGTTATCTTATTGAGTGTTCTTCTTGGTTTTCCTTTGTCTTTTTTTATGGGACTCTATACTGTTTGATCTGTCCTCCTTATCAGGGCCTCCAAAGGCCTTCTCCGTATATGTTCAAACCATCTTAAGTGATGTTCGACCATTTTCTCTTGGATAGGCACCACATCAATTCTTGCTCTGATATTTTGATTTCGAATCTTATCTTTTCTTATATGATCATTCATCCATCTCAACATCCTCATTTCTGCTACCCTAACTTTGTGCTCTTATTTTCTTTTTATTGCCCAACATTCACTACTGTACAATATAGCTTGTTTTATAGTAGTTTGATAAAAATTTTCCTTAAGCTTCTCAGATACCTTATTGCAAATAACTTCAGTAGCATTTCTTCATTTTAACTAATCAGCTTAGATTCTATGAGAAACGTCTTCATTAATTTCACCATCCTCATGTATACCGAATCCTAGGTATTTAAACTTTGATACTTGAAGAATGATTTGATCTTCATCTTCACCTCCAAATCACCATTGCCTTGCCTCCTCCCAAAATTGCAAAGCATATATTTTATTTTGTTTCTGGTCAAGTGAGAACTTTTCGACTCCAAAGTCTTTTTCATAACTTCGATTTAGAGTTAATCTCTTCTTTTTATTTCGTCATGAGACTATGTCATCCGTAAAAAACATGTACTTAGAGATTTTTTCTTGAATAAGCTCAATTAGAACATCCAAAATAATATTAAACAAGCAAGGACTTATAGAGAATCCTTGATGTGGGCCAATCTTAATGGGGAATGGGGAAGTCTTTTGTTTTACCTCTAGGCGTTCTTGCACTAGTAGTTACTCCTTCATACATATCTTGTATAGCTTTGATATAAGCAACCGCACACCTTTCTTTTCTAAAACCTTTCAAAGTACTTCTCTTGACACATGATCACAAGTTTTCTCCAAATCAATAAAGACCATATGTAAACCCTTTCTTTTTCTTCTATATCTTTCCATTAACTCTTTTAGTAAATAAATTGCTTTAGTTGTAGATCTTCTTGGTATAAATCTAAATTGGTTCTCCAAAATAGTAGTCTCTAACCTGAATCTATGTTCAATCACCTTTTCTCACAATTTCATTGTATGACTCATAAGTTTTATCCTTTTGTAGCTTGCACAATTTTGAATAACTTCTTTATTCTTATAAATAGGAACTAAAATGCTTTTTCTCCATTCATCTGGCATATTCTTGGAGTGTGAAATTTTATTAAAAAACTTGGTTAGCCATAATTCATCTTTCTTGCCTTGAATATTTTCAAATTTCAATAGGAAAACCATCAGGCTCAACAGCTTTATCATTATCCATTTTCTCAAGAGCTGCCTTATCCTCTCCTATGCGGGTCCTACTATAAAAAGCCAAATTCCAATAATCTTTGTTAATTAGCAAGTCTTGTAAGTTCTTAGTCACACATTCGCTTCCCTCATTAAACAACTTGTAAAAGTAAGCATCCCATTTGTCTTTCATATCACCATCAGTAACTAGAACTTTATCATCTTCATTCTTTATACACTTCACCTAGTCCAGATCTCTCTTTTTCCTCTCTTTTTGCTTCGTAATCTTGTAAATATTTTTTTTCCCCGCCTTTGTTCCTAACTCCTTATAAAACTCCTCATAAGCTTTAGTACGTGCTCTGCTTACTGCTCTCTTCATCTCTTTTTTAACCAAACGATATTTTTTTCCAGTTTTTTGCACTATTGTACAAAAGGTATGGTCTTAAAATAATCTCTTTTCTGTTTGACTTTCTCTTGCATACTCTTGTCCCACCATCAAGTCTCCGTATGTCTCTGACCATGACCTCTGGATTCTCCCAAAATTGTTTTAGCAAGCATACAATGTCTCATTGTCATCTCTTCTTACATGATGTTTGCATTTCCTTGCAACTCCCAGATCTCTTCCTCCAAAAAGGTCTTTTTGAAAAAGTCTCGCTTCTCACCCTTTGACTGCCACTACTTGACCCTGGGGTTTACTACTTGGTGAGACTTTTGTTTGATACTCTTAAAATGCACATCAAGGATAAGTACTTTATGGTGGGCAGTCATCCCATCCCCAGAAATCATTTTGCAATTAGTACACAGTTTTCTGTCTAGGTTCTTAACCAAAAAGAAATTAATTTGTGATTTTGAGGCTCCACTCTTGTACGTGATTAAATGTTCTTCTCGCTTCTTAAAACAAGTGTTGACAATCGTAAGATTGTATACAAAAGAAAAGTCAAGAATAGATTGTTTTTTGTTAAGCTCCCCAAAACCAAAACCACCATGAGTCTCAACAAATTGTCCTGCTTCCTTGCCGACGTGTCCATTAAGATCTCCACCAATAAAATTTTTTTCTTTAAGTGGTATGCTTTGAACCAATCCCTTCATATCTTTCCAAAACTTATCTTTAAGGTGTGCCTCTCTCCCAACCTGAGGTGCATAGGCGCTAATGATATTGATAGTATTATTTTCAACAGTTACTTTTAAAGATATTATTTTGTCCTCAAACCTTTTAACTTCCACCACATTCTTTTTCCGTGTTCCATAAACGATGATATCAACACTATTCCTTGCACTCACCTTCCCTGTGTACCAAAATTTATATTCTCCAAATTCTATGTAAACTTCTCTAGCCCATTTGGTTTCTTGGAGGCACAAGATGTTAATTCTTCTGTCCCTTATAACTCCTATTATTTCCATAGATTCTCATTCAAAGTTCCAATATTCCAAGTGTTGAATCTAATCTTGCTCTCATGAACTAATTTCTTTAGCCACTCCGTCCAAAAGACTATGGTAGCCCTTGCTCATTTAACACTACATCCGGATGATGCAGTGGCTCTAGCTCACTTCTCATTATACTCAAGCTGTACAGCACGTTACTTCTGGGCAACAACCTAACAGTAGCATAATTACTTTGTTGATCCATGTTCATGAGATTTGACGGACTTTTACATTGGCTATCGATGGCCTAACACAACTCTCCTCTTTTACCCGGGCTTGGGACTGACTATACTAAATAGGGGGAGTTTGTGGCTATAACTATAATACACAAAATTTGCAAGGCTGTACAATACATGTAGGGAGGGTGATAGCATGATACATTGTGCTGAACTTCAAATTAAAGCATGCTATTACTGGTGACTTGTAAAAAATTATCAGACATGTGTATAGTGGAATTCTAATGTGTGAGCGGGGAATTTCTAACCAAGATGACATATAATTTGTTGATGTGGCCGCCAAATTTTAATTCCTTTTTATTTTTGTTGTTCATAGACAATTAAACTCATAATTATTAGTGAGCCTAGATCCTTTATGAAGCTTAATGGTAACCAATATTTATTTTACTTGTCATGGCTGTCACCAGTTCTTCTTATATGATTTGATTTTTTGAATGTTGCTCTGCAGGCTTTGTTTCTATTAATGGCAGCGATATTTGCAGTCTTACCGGGAACAAAAGAGGATGCTCTGAATGAAGTTGCTGTTGGTTCAGCTGTTTGCGGTCTCATTACTCTGATCATTGCCGAATTCGGTTGTTAAACCCACTGTCTACAACATTACATTTTGTTTTACTGGTATTTTAATTTGAAAATAAACTTCTTTGTCTTTTTATTTATAAAGGTCGAAGGCGAAGCAGGGCCAGCTTCTTGGGAATTTATCCTGTTACGTCATCTATAATAATGCTTCTGGCTGTGATTCTTGCTAGGCGCCATTCTCTAATGAAGGTAATGCATAATGCGTTTGCACTAAATTTCCACAGAGAATCAATGAAAGAAGAAGACTAAAAGCATAAGTATGAAACTTCATATACTTTTTTTTTTTTTTTTTTTTTTGGTTTTGGGGGGGGGGGGGTGTGACAAAGATATGATAAGGAGTTAAATTCTAAATGAACAAGTTGACAAATTTACGATAGATGCTCCGTATTATGAGAATGGGCATGGCCAAGCTCATTGGCCAATCTAGAAACTATAATCTCTTATGGTTTGATTCTTCTTTACTCTGTCCAGCTCACGGTTTTGATAACCCTCCGAAAGGAAAAATTATCAGTATGAGAAGAACCTAAAGCTTGCTAGAGGAAAGGAAATCCTCAGACCTACAGAGGGGGGGGGGGAAGGTGATCACAGAAGATAGTAACAAGAGGCTAATATATATATATATATATATATATATATGAAGTGGCGAGATTACATCTTAAAAGACACAAACAGCTACATCAAATCTGCCCTTAACCGAGTATAGCACTATGGGGGCGAGGAGTCTAATATTTTGAAACAGCTTTCCAGTCACTTTGCTTATCAGATAGGGTATTCTCCTTCGAAGTAGGACCATATTTTAAGGACCAAAGAGAAGCCATGTACAGAAATATCCCATTTAACAATAAAAGATGATTTTCCCTGATTCAACCAAACTGTAAAATCCCATAAAGCACACATGAACACATTTTTGTTATACTGATTACCGAACCATTTGAACCAAGTTCAGAGGAAGTGTTACCGGGTATTCTGACATAGCTAACTCCACCAATGACACTTCTGTTAGGAAGAAGGAACCTTATAGGCTGTAATGAACCTGTAACACTTTGATGGAGCTTTAGAGCACCAAGTTGGTTCAGCAAGAAGAAACATTTCCTGAGTTGAGTGTTTCTACTATTTCTTTCCTTGATTATCAAGTGTCATGTTCGTTGTTCTATGTGTTTAATATATTAAGGTGAAAATAAATGAGTAAATAAATAAAGCGCATGATCAGCTTCTGAATTTGGCAATAATGAAGAATTGGTAGGTTCTGTATTGTGTCGAAGCACTTTAAAACCTATAAAAATTTCTTGAAGTTACCATGTACATACTCTTCTGGAATTTCTGTGGCTCATTTATAATTTCAACTAGTTAACTTCATCTCTTAAATTATTTTAAGGTAGTTAAAAGGGAGCTTCCCCTATTGTTTAATCAAAGGTTTATACATTTGTTTTCTAATTTAGCATGTAAGTGCATAGTTGCAACCTGACTGCAATGTTCATTGTTCTATGGAACTTCTCTCCAGGTTCTACAGGATTCCAGGTTTTGGCAAACAAAGAAGTTTGATCTTAACGGCTTTCCTGTTCTTCAAGCTTGTATGTGTTTAATTCTAATCTAAACTTTGTTTACTTTGTGTTGTAATTGGTCTTATGATTGAGTAATTATTGGATTCATCATGTTTTAACTGTTGCAGGCTTGGTTGTAGATGTAAGTGCATTGGTGGTGCTTCAGTTCCTTATCACCAAAACGATCATTCCCCTCATGTCCAACATGTCCCCTCCTAGAAAAGCCAAACCCTCTTAGCCTCTCATCAGTGTTACTTGACTCTAGTTCGTACTTTTTCTTTTCTCTGTATCATAGATTGGTCTGCATTATTTTCAAGAGATTGAGATAAGCCTTTTTTCTTCCCCCTGTAATTTTAATTTTTAGGATCTAATCATGTGACCTGTCAAGAGATGGTCATAAAGCGGCTGTTAGGTCTGTATTTCGAACTTTGCGGGTAGAAAATGAAACTCGAGATTTCAATGCCTAAGCGGATGCTAAAAGGTGAAGTATGAACAAGGCAATTTATCTTATACAGCTTGTCTGGTGAGAGGAGATTTTCCTAGTTTTGTCTAAAGCATTGTTTTGACAATTTTATTTTTCATAATCAGAAAGTCTAAGTAGTTATAAGTTGTAGAAACAAGTAATTATAGATTCAATTAAAGTACATCACGTCTCTACGCAAGGGTGCGGCCATTTCTGTTCATAATCGTGCTTCAAAAATTATTTTGTTCATAATAGTGGTAAATAAAAGTTTTGGGGCGGTGCGGGATCACAAAAATTAAGGAGGCTGATGAATCAAAATTATAAATTTATAGCAAACCAAAGTTGATCCGAGCTCATGAGCTCAAATTCTCGTTGTTCAGTAATCTATACTCTACTAGTATTTTTAGTAGTGTTTTTGGAGCCTTTTTGAAACCTAACTCAAATTCTTTATAAGAAATTATAAATTCATTCGACTTTCATTTGAAGAATAATTCTTATTATATGTGCATATAAAAAAAGTCTAAATTTTAGTATTATTAAATTTTAGAAATAAACACACTTGTTAAATGATACTTCTTTTGTTTTAAAGGTAAGACCTATTTTGAAATATAAATTATACTGCAAATAGGTGTTATATTTCAAACCAGAAGAGTAATTATAATTCGTTTGTTAATGGTCTTGAACTCTAATGGCATGAAAGTTGGTCTTAAACTAGATTTTATAATTAGAATCAAAGATACTAAACTTCAAATTCAAATACACACTTCTAATAAATTTCTATCAAATTCAGGAGAACTAACTAGAAATTTCATTATCTTATCAAATAATCACATTGCCTGTCATTTATTTTTCAAAGCCACCTCTTTTTCCTCAAAAGCCACTGTTGCCGTTAATCAGCCACCACCCCCAGCATGCCGCCCATTGCCAGGAGTGGTGGCTTTGAGGAAAAAGGAGAAAGCCTTGAAAAAACAAATGAGGGGCAATATAGTCATTTAATTTTGATGTTTTGAATTTCTAATTAGTTTTCTTGGCATTGAATGAAAATGTTAGAAGTGCGGGTCCGTGTATGAATTTTGATGTTTTGGTTAGATTTAAGGGAAAATTACTGTAGAGTCCTAGGCAAGAGATTTTATCACTCTAAAGTCCCTGGAAATGCTAAAATAAATATGAAGTCCCAAGGGACTTAATTGTGAAAGATTTCAATTGTGCAATTACAAAATTACCCTCATTCATTTGAAAAAAAACATTGAAGGAAAATATGAGGATTCTTTCATTCGCACAACTCCGTCGCATCTTGCCTCTCTCCCTACCGCCTCTTGTCTCTTTGATTGCAATATTTTGCTCTGCTCCTCGCCTCTATGACTCTGTCTCTGCCTCACGTCTATTGCTTCTCATTGTCACTACTAACTTCCTTGTTTTTTGCTTCTTATTCTGTGGGGTATAAAATGATGCTCTGTTTTTCGCTAGTTCGTGCTCTGTTTTTACTGAAAATAAATGAATATGACAGTTTTTTTATTGTTATAATCCCTACAATGTGATGGTTAAATGTGTTGTTAATGGATACATCGAAAGTTGTCAATCTAACTTTATGACTTGTCAATGACAACAGATTGTGACGGGTTGATATGAAGAATGGGAAGTTCAAGTGGGAAGCATTTGTTCTGCTATATCCATACAGGGAGACAATTTATTAATGGTGTAGAAGGTGAAATGCAATAGTTGAAGGTGGTGTGAGAACAAGAATGATAAAGAAAGGCACATCATATGAAGAATTTAAAACAATGGTAGTATCAATTATCAATTGTTTTGCTTAAATTGTTATTGCAATGATCAAAGGTTGTCATTAACAACCCCATGACTTGTCCTCTTATGCAGGATGAAAGATTTGCTTAGAGATTTAGATTGTATTGTCCATGTCTCCATCCAATGTGTTTAGTGAAGACTCACTATCGTTGTCATGTGGTTCACAAATGATACCAACCCCAATTTTGAAAATGAATTAAAAAAAGTGGAAGGATTTTGTGAATGCATGTGACAATATTATGTTGTAAATGTCATTACACACCCCTCAAGTTCTTGGTCATTATGTACACATGCAACCCATATGCTTTTTTGAATGGGTTGTGAATTTGGTGTAGTTACATTGTACACATATATATAAAGTGATAAATGACATCTGGAAGTAATCTGATATAATATCATACTTCTATTTTGCTGTACTTGTCAAAAGGTTGCCATAGACTTGTTATCACATGCTGTTGAGGTTGTCATTGACAGTCTGAATTAAGTTACTAGTATAATATGACAATTTCATGTACTTGCAATGTTTCATGATTTCTTAACATATGATTTTAGTGTTAAAGCTGTGATATGATATTATTTAGTTATAATTTGATGTTATTTGAAGGTTGTACTATCCCATAGAGTCAGTTATTAGCAACACTGCCGAGGTTGTCAATAGATTCCCCTTGGGTTGTTAACACTTACTGTTGAGGTTGTTAATGAATCTCTATAATAAAATTTTGCTATAATCAATTGGGATCACTTAAAGCTGTTAATGACTTGAAAGAGCTTTTCATTTTATTGCTAAAGTCGTTATATATGATAATAATACTATTTGGTTAGAGGTTGTGCTATCCCCCAAAGTCAGTTGTTAGCGACACTGCCGAGGTTGTCTACAGATTTCTCTTGGGTTGTTAACACTCGCTGTTGAGATTGTCAATGAATTTCTGTAATAAAATTCTGCTGTAATCCAAATGGGTTCACTTAAAGTTGTTAATGACTTGAAAGAGCTTCCTATTTTATTGTTAAAGTCGTTATATATGATAATAATACTATTTGGTTAGAGGCTGTGCTATCCCACAGAGTCAGTTGTTAGCGACACTGCTAAGGTTGTCAACGATTTCTCCTCGGGTTGTCAACACTCGTTGTTAGGGTTGTCAATGAATTTCTACAACAAAATTCTGTTATAATCTAATTGGATTCACTTAAAGTTGTTAATAACTTCAAGAACTTCCCATTTTATTGTTAGAGTGGTTATATATGATAATAATACTATCTGATCAGAGGCTATGCTATCCCACAGAGTCAGTTGTTAGTGACACTGCAGAGGTTGTCAACAGATTGTTCTTGGGTTGTGAACACTCGTTATTGAGGTTGTTAATGAATTTCTGCAATAAAATTTTGCTATAATCAAATTGGACTCACTTAAAGCTATTGATGACTTGAAAAAGCTTCTCATTTTATTGTTAAAGTCATTATATATGATAATAATTCTATTTGATTAGAGGCTGTGCTATCCCACAGAGTCAGTTGTTATCGACACTGTTGAAGTTGTCAACGACTTCTCCTCAGGTTGTCAACACTCCCTATTGAGGTTGTCAATAGATCTGGCAGAGAAGACTGTGATATGTACCTATCATGTCATCATAGTTAGCATTCATTTTTTCAGTATTAATACCCTTATCATTTCTAGACGTGATAAGGATATTAATGAAGAATTTCATGCTAATCACTACACATAAATGGCATTAAAAAAAATTGTAACCATTAAATAATATCAATACACATTAACTTAACTTTACATTTAGATGTCATTATATTGTCAAATGAAAAAACAAAACGCTATATATGCTACCATCTCCAACATATTGCATTTTATCTTCTACACCATTAATAAATTGTCTCCCTGTATGGATATAGCAGAACAAATGCTTCCCACTTGAACTTCTCATTCTTCATATCAACTCGTCACAATCTGTTGTCATTGACAAGTCATACAGTTAGATTGACAACCTTCGATGTATCCATTAACAACACATTTAACCATCGCATTGTAGGGATTATAACAATAAAAAAACTGTCATATTCATTTATTTTCAGTAGAAACGGAGCACGAACTAGCGAAAAACAGAGTATCATTTTATACCCCACAGAATAAGAAGCAAAAAACAAGGAAGTTAGTAGTGACAATGAGAAGCAATAGGCGTGAGGCAGAGATGGAGTCATAGAGGCGAGGAGCAGAGCAAAATATTGCAGTCAAAGAGACGAGAGGCAGTAGGGAGAGAGGCGAGATGCGATGGAGTTGTGCAAATGAAAGAACCCTCATATTTTCCTTCAATGTTTTCTTTCAAATGAATAAGGGTAATTTTGTAATTGCACAATTGAAATCTTTCACAATTAAGTCCCTTGGGACTTCAGATTTATTTTAGCATTTCCAAGGACTTTAGAGTGATAAAATCTCTTGCTTGGGACTCTACAGTAATTTTCACTAGATTTAATTAGTATTTTCCCTTCACAAACTCTATATATGAAATGATTTATTACTCTTTTTTAATCATATGCTACATTTAGTCCAAAAAATAAGATCTAATTTGTAGATTAATTTATATTATAAACTAGAATTTATAATTAGAATCGGAGATAGTATTTTTTTTTCACTGGTCTGATTTGTTGAAAGATTTGGTTTGGTATCCAAGATACAGGGGAGATCTAAAAGTTCCAATAACAAATGACTAGCCTACCAATAGGGGTTGATCTAAGTAGTAAGCGGCTTGGTACCGCTTAAGCGAGATCTCGAGTTCGAGCCTCAACATATGCAGAAATCCCTGTTAGGAGACTCACCTACCACAGCCAGGTGCGCGATGCGGGTCCTGTGAACTGAATGGGCAACCAAAAAAAAAACATATGGCTAGCCTGAATTTGTTGTCATTCTTTACTTTAGAACTTATTATTGCTTACTCTTCACTTGTCAATAGACTTTAAAGAAATTAAATCCCTTCTTTAAAATCTAATTGTAATTCTTCCAAGATGAAATAGACAAATATCAAGAGCATATATTATATGTATCATGAGTCCCAAAAGCTGCCCAAGATTGGGTTCAATTCTAGCCAGATGTGGCAAGAATTTATTTTAATTTGATAAAGAAATATTTTTAATTCTTTAATTTTGCTTGAAATTTCATTTTAATTCATTAAATTTTTGTAACGTAATGAATTTATGTTGCAAGTGATAGGCACCAAACTCAAGCCACAAAGCCCTGCAATATCACTATCTTGTATTTATTGGGCAGGGCATTATTAGAAAATTTGG